GCAGTGTCGCGTCTATCCCACAACATTTCTTGAAGATAAACTGTGCATTCACCTCCGTGGATCCTGGTCTTTGCCCAGTGTGGAGTGAATTGGCCCACAGGTGCGTTAGCGCGCCAGCTCCCGCGGTGCACGGGAATGGAGGGTAGTGATACCCGGGTGCCGTCTACGTAATCCGCCTGCGTTGTCGCCGGACCACAGCAACGCGGATAGCACGAACACAGAGCCTTGATTATTGAGTATACTCAGCTACATATCCCGGAAAAATCCCTGAGGGGTGTACAGAAAGCTTGACAACCAGCTTTCTGAGGGCAAAAAGAGCATAGCCATGGTTGCTAGAGAGACCTAGTGTCACTTTTAGGTATGTATCGAGTGTGACAAGGCAACACCGGAAGAAGTGGACGAGAACGATGCGCCGGGTTTCAAGGTAAGACAGCCAAAAAAGTTTTTTTTGTACTAAACTAAACAAAAAATGTAACTCGACTTGTCGCGGTGACATTTGAATGGGAAAATGGCTCCCTCCGCTCGTCTCTTCCTTCTCAAATCCGAAGGAACTTCGTATAGCATACTCATTTCGTTCAAAGATTATTTTTTGCTTTTCACAATTCTTCGAGTCACTCCAGCCTTGGCCTTCTCAACCTCACATTAGTTGGTATTGGTGAAGACATCCAACGATTGTACCCTCTTTAGTGGAGGGCCGCTCCTCTTCATCATATAAGTGAGGCGGGCGCTGTTCGGCGACGGCGGGGGAGCATTTTGTACCTTCACTGCTTTACTAGTTCCGGTTCACAAGTTCCGCTCTGGTGAAACCTGTGAACCTTGTGAAGCTGGAGCAAGCTCGTCTAGCCACCATGGTAAAACCCGTCAACTCTTGTCTTGCTCATGAAAGCTGTCTAGATGGCTCGTAGTGCAAAATGCCCCCCCCCGAACTGTGCCAAGTGAGGCGCACCAACAAGGAACACACGGCGGTTGGGTGTTCCCCCCCACGCAATTGACATGGGCTGAGACGAATCGCGGCGAAAACCTTCTAGAGACTATAGGGAAACTCAACTGGATTGGCCGTTTTCGTTTCTGAATGTAACATTAATGAGTACAAGTATTTCAGGTTGAAAAGGATGATGTCCGCTCTAAGGAGTTCGACCGAGCTCGAGCTGAAGCCGTGAAGAAGCTGCTGACGTCCGAGCAGAAGCAGCCATTCGTGCGTGGAACAGCTGTCTCAAGAAGTGCCCGTATTGAAAGGACCAAAGGCGATTCCCTCGAGTACATCACCAACAAGAACAAGGTCAGTTCATCTTCAGATCATCTGGGAGGTACTTTTCAGCTGTACAGTCTTGTTCGCTGCGGATGACGGGGCGTGTCACTGGGTTGGGTATAGTGTGGCGCCAGCATGTTTTCCACCAACTGTTGTCTCTTACCCGCTTCAACGACTGGAAGAAGGAGCTGGCGGGCGCCAAACTCAACTTCACTGACGCGCCGCATCATGCGCAGCGAACAGGGCTGTACATCTCTAGTTTTGNGTAGAAGTAGGGACCACCAATGAGAGAGAGGCAGTGGTGTGACTGGCTACGCCTACACAATCAACGCGGAATGTATGCGAATAAGATTTTCCATACGCCATCAAAAGATGCTATTTGACTCGGTTGTTGATCACCTTTGCAATTCTAGGCTTCTTCTGAGACTCCACAGGCACCGGCCTCAACACCATCCGGTGAGAATAAGGACGCCTTGAAAACCAAAGTAGTTCTCAAAAAGGTTTGTTTCATAAAGTGTGACTTGTGAGAGGAACCACCTGTCAGAAATCTTGCCTTTGAAGGAAGTTCCACCACCACCGTCGAATCTTCCTGATCCTGTACCGGCAAGGATACCACGGCCGAAAATCAGTAAATATGTAGCTCCATCGGAGAATGCTGAGACACCTGATGAAGAAGAAGAGGCTGCCGATCGACTGACACCGCTGAGAAGTGAGCTACGGAGTCTTGGAAGGTAAGCCATGGGGTCTTGTAAACGTCAAGGCAGGGCAATGATTGATGGAAACGTATACGTCTCCCTTTCTACAACCCCCCCCCCCTAGAAGTTGAAGTTGGCGGGAAATGGGTCGGCGTCGCGCCAAAAACTACTCGCTGCTGACACGCTCCGACTGACTTCAGTGTTAATTATCGTAGTACTAGCCTCACCTCCTATTACAGCACCTTACGAGCAGTGTTCACTACTCCATGGACAATAAAACTACGAGTCTACTGTTTCCTGAAGTTCTGCGCCTCATATTGACATTGGACCAACAAAATGTCCTCCTTCGGTTCCCCCTCGTTCTCACCCATTCCTTCCTACCATCTTCCAAAACTTGGAAAATCTTTCTAAATTCTGACTTTGCTCTTTTTCGCTCTTTCCGGAAGTCCCTCCACTCTTCCACCAAGGCCGTCCAGGGGTACATAGCGGTACTTGATATAAGAAACACCCGAGAAAGCCCATCAGCCGAGTTTTTTTCTAGAGACAAATACGACCTCTCTCCCGTAGAGGACCAAATACAACCCTGGGGATCCCCAAAGTATGACGCACCCTGTATACGACCCCATTCCGGTGAAGACTTGTCAAGATTGATGCTTCGGATTCAGGTTAGATTTCAGACTGTTTACAAAAACGTAGTTACCCTTTTGCAGGTGGCCGAGATCGAACTCACAGAGGTGCCATATTCGCCATACAAGACCGGCAGGTACGTTTTCTACCTGCCGAATCATGATTGGTATCGATTTATTGATCACTTTCAGTGAGTCAGACGACGATTCGGACGATTCCGAAGGCAGTTATGATACGCATGAAGACGGAGTGGATTATGAGGGTAAGAATTTAATGACGCAGTTCGGCGACGAGGGGGGGGGGGCATTTCGCACGCACGTTCACTGCTCCGTTAGTTCTGGTTTGCATACTTTACGTGATGAAACCTATAAACTTCTTTTGAAGCTCAAGCTCATCGAGCCACAATGGTGAAACCTGTCAACTCACGAAAAGGCTCTCTAGATGGGTCGACACGTCGATGGGAAGTAGCAAAAGTGCAAAATGCCCCCCTCGTCGCCAAACTGCGCCGAAATTGATACCTAGTAATAATAATCCATGAGTGGCACAAATGAACGTTTCAGATTCGCCGTACGAGATCACGATTCCGATGCGAGAAGCCATGGAGAGCCTCAACTCGCATCTCCTGCAGCCTGGAACGATAACACCTGAAACAGCGGTATGATCGTAATATGTGCACAAAATTACAAGATGGCCTCTGTAAGCTCCCCTGAGTACCATTTGGTGCCCCCACCAAGCCAAACTGCGTCTTATTCTGTTTTGGAAAGTGATTCTTTTGGTGCTGGGAAACGTGTGCCCTGGGGAAAAAAGGCTGTGGAAATATTTGTTGATGTTCGCTCCAACATACGGGGGGGGACCCACTCAAAGGCTTGACTTTCTCCGCCCATCTTTCCTGTTGGTGGGAAAATCGGTGGAGACCGTCAACTATTCCACATATTTCTTGGTGCGCCGATTGTTTCTCAAGCGATAGAGGGTGCTCTTTAATGAGGAAATGCTGCGTAACACTGGAGCTCGCGGATCGGGCTTTTGAGGGTATCCTACCGAAATTTTCTAACCAGGTATGCGTTAGAAAACAAAGGCGCACGCATGATGGAGGCACTCTAATGCCTCTGCCTCTTGCCCATACGACTTGGGCGGACTGATAGCTGATCAACTGATAATTGATTTACCACTCCAAATGATAACAGATCAAATTACAGGACTGGGCCCTCAAGTACGTACAGCACGAATGGCTGAAGTGCACGGCTCGTAAAGGAAGTAAACCTGAAGCCGTCGACACCCTTATCGAACAGATCAAGGAGCTTCTCACCAGCTCTTCTGAAAGTCGTCGTGAATATCACTGATCAGAACGTGAGTTCAAACCTATCACAAGAATTTTGTCTATCAATTGATCGAATTGATTGACTTGCTAATCGATCTATTTCAGGGCAACACAGCGCTGCACTATGCCGTATCCCATGGTAATTTCGGTGTCGTTTCGTCCTTATTGGATTCGGGTGAATGCCAGTTGAACCTGGCGAATCGGGCCGGTTATTCAGCAGTGATGTTGGCCGCGTTGAGCTCGTTGGAAAATGAAGTGGAGAAGGCTGTTGTTCAGAGGTAGCTCAGGGATAAATAGTGGGCCATGCTTATACCATTTTCCGAAATTTTAGGCTTTTCGAACTGGGTGACGTCAATGCACGTGCACAACAACATGGTCAAACGGCATTGATGCTATCGGTATCACATGGGAAGAAAGCCACCACGGAATTGTTGCTGGCCTGTGGTGCCGATGTGAACCTCCAGGTACATGAGTTATTTGAAGGCGTAGTCCACTCTAGGCGTTTGGGCGTGGCCGGACATGCCATTGTGCCGTACCCTTTGGTGCCGTCCTCCTTTCTAGGGCAGGAAGAGATGAGGTGCGCCAGTAATAGAGGCACAATGGATTGTCCGTCTCCACCCACTTCACCAGTGTGGAATGTGACTTGAGGTCCTGCTGAAACCTTTCATTTCTCTCAATTCAGGACGAAGAGGGCTCGACAGCTCTCATGTGCGCTGCCGAACATGGTCATAAGGATATCGTCAAGCTTCTCCTTGGTCAACCTGGCATCGATGCTGCCCTGACAGACTGCGTAAGTATCCTAAATGCTACGATAGGGCTTTTTAAAGGTCCTCTCCAGGACCTTTAAAGTCCTTTTCACCCTAGTCCATGTTTCATCTACTGCCCCTGAAAGGCACAAGACCACTGCTCCCGAAAACGCAGTTCACGTCGACAGAATCACGGGCGAAGACCAAGGAGCCATTGCCGTTTAGAACGGTCACCAGTAATGGAGGCGTGCTGGTACTCTGTCTCCACCCATATGATCAGCGTGGACTTAATGTTACCTGACGTCTTGCGCTATCATTTTGTTTTCACTATCGAGGCTCACCACAGTGTTGGTCGGGTTACCTGGGATGCTGGGACGTGTCGTTGGGTTGGGTTTGGCGCAGCGCCAACCCGTTCACCATCAGCTGTTGAAGCCACC